TATATATATATATATATATATATATAAAATAATACAAAATTCAATATAATTTAACATGTATGAACCTTAAAATGACAACAATATAAAAAACTTAACTATATTTTGGCAGTTTTACATACAAAAGAAAAGCAATGACAAGCTTATTGGAGCAACAGCCTAAAACAGTTTTAAATATTTTATCTTGATATTTAACTTACTACTAGCATTAGAAAAAAAATCAAAATATTAATGTCAAGGTTATTATTCCTCTTGTGGTTCAAAATCCACTAGCCATAAGTCTAATTACTAGAGGTCAATGAGGTGCAATGTTTCTATGTTCAGAAACACTTCATATTTTCAGTTGTTAAAAACATAACTAGAAAGGAAAAACACAGTATACTGTGAATAATATCTAGAATAATTATCCTTACTAAATAAAAATTAACAAAGCAATCTCTTAACAGTTTAATTTTAAGGATGTAAAGCTCGGTAAGCATATTTTTTTAAAGTTTGGAGAGAAAAATTCTATTTTTCATTTACTTAATAGTTTTGTAATCTAGACATGTTATGCCTTATTATACTGTTCATACTGGTGTGTGGCCATTACGGGGCTAGAATGTCAACATCAGAAGATAAGTGTTACTTATCACCTAAGAGATCCTATAGTAAGTAGTCTATATCATTGTTTTATTATAAATCCATTCCATTAGAAGCAGCTATCTTCCCACAAATGGCTTCAAATGAGGAATAGTTTTCTTAAATTTTGGGTAATGCTGGCTTGAAAATCCATATGCACTCTTTATTTTTGTATATTTTCTTCTTTCTTCCACAAGCAAGTCTCGCAAACAAAAGATAAATCTAATATGTAATCTATTCCTTTACTTTCTCTGTAGGTCCTAGTTCCTTATATATTTCTCTTATTAAGGTACATTTTACCTTCTCAAATTCTAATTTGTACCTCAGCTTCATCTGTCTATCATTTATGTGCAAAAGTTTTTGTTGTTAGATTTGCTGCATGATAAGCTGTATTATGCATATACGTATATAGAACTGGCAACATAAAATTAACCCCTTTTTTTTCAGTTTCCAAAAAATACTGGCTTCTTAACGATGCATTATTTATACATCATCTTAAACATATTCTAACCATTCTTTGTGGTATGATATAAAATTTAAATCATTACTTTCATCCTCTGAATTTTCTAATGATTCATACTGCCAACTTTATACTTATTAGATTCCTCATATATTGCAAGTTCTTTGCTAACTATCCTCTCAATTAAGTTTATTATATTTCATTAAATATTGAGCTCATGTGAGATTTTTGCTTCATCAGCTTAGACATCAAATGCTGTAACAACAAGTTTTATAACTGCATATAAATCACATTTTTTGAGTGTTATAGGTCACACCTAGCTGATTGAAAATATTCTGAATAGTTTTCTGTGGCACACAACATTTAGATTTGAAATACTATTTTTTTATATATTCAGTTAAAAGTCTGCAGTGGACTGGTTAACCCTTTTGATACGAGTCACAGGTTTGTTGACTCGCATTCAAAATTTTATTGAACTACTATTTCATGAACTTATGTCAATAAGTTTGGTATCAAACTGAAGATTATAATTCAAATCTTAGAACCATACATTACTCAATTTATTAATTTGTAAGTAAATATGTAAAAAAACCCAGATAAACATCAATTTTTGTGTGTTACACGGTACATTGAATGCAGAAGTGGTTCCAATTAGATGTTTGTGAAGTCAAAGTACTAAGTCTATAGTTTCGTACAAATTAGAAACTCAGATTACAGATATTGAAAAGCTTGAATATAAAATAAGGTCTTACCTTTTCTATTTGCTAAGATATTGCTCACATAATAAATGAAACACACAGTGGCACCCTGCTCACCTCTTTCCATTTTTGGAAATGCTCCCTTATATACACTTACTTCTATATATGACATGAATAACCAATCAGAAACTTAGAATGTCTCCCTGGTGATTTTCTCAGCCTTTCTAACATCCCTTCCACCATTTCTTTCTTTCAATCAAGATTTCAATGATGAAGGTTGTGTCTAAGTCTGAACGAAATTTCATATATTTTTTAGACCTAAATAAATCTCAGTTACTAAGCTTGATATATTATAGTGGAATTCTATGGTATTGATGCAATAATTTATGATTTCTTAGTTATTCAAAAGTATATATAAAACCTAAAAAAAATATTTTGTTTCGTATCCTCCACTTGTAAAACTTTTAAAGGCTTAGCAACTTATGTCAAGCAGCAACCGAGTACAAAGATCATAACTAAGAGAGATAATTGTTTGCTTTACTTCTTTATTTACTGTTCTATGTTTTAGGAAAAATAACTAAGAACTTATTTCAAAATAGCAATAATCTATATTCATATATGATGTATAATAATCGATATGTAACTATTTTACAAAATACTAGTCTACTAAAACACAGCCAAGACTAGATACTTTGTACAGACCAAAGTTCACCTTTATGTTATTTGATATGGTAACATGAGTGCATGTGAGCCACGTCGTTGTAACTTCTGTATTGTTAGCCAGGCATGGGTGAAAGGTCAATATAATAAAAATGATAAATATATATATAAATGTATAATACTATGAGATTTTTTTTTTTTTTTTATGGTGCTTGCGAGATCATTCACATTTACCGAACTCGTACAGATATTAATTACTGAAAATAACAGATAAAATATAAAGTTTTTTCTTAAGAAATGTTTAATAACTATCCGGACAGTATAAAGATTTCTCATGTGAAATTTGAAAGTTTTCTGATGCCATAAAAGTATTTTTAATCTTAAAATGAATATTACTTTGCATGATAGGTAGAGAACATGCAAAAAGAAAAAAAAGACATGTGAAAAAAGTTGCTTTACAAACCTAAAATCTTAATAAAAAGATTTGATATTTTGTGTATGAAAGCATTGTAATGTTTACTGATAATCTGTCAAAATCGCTTACTAATTTAAAAGTTATAACACAAAAAATAAAATAAACACAAAATGGTAACGAGGTCGGTTCCAGGGAACGAGCCCGTGCTGAGAGAGTTAACAGATTACTATTTAAAGTAAGTTATTTTGATCTTACAAGTTATAGTGCATTAATAAAATAGTCCCGACATCTCTAGTATATATGGGTATATTATGCCATTGATATATTTGTGAAGAAAAGGTTCGAAAGATGCTAAAATGAAAACAAACAGTTTGATTACTTCACTTAAGCTGGGCAGTTTAAAGATAGAACAAATTACACAGCTTTGATGGTTTTTAATTTATTTAATATCTGTGCCCATATTTATGCAATTAATTATGAAAAGTAACTGTAATAATTATGTAAGGTAATGATTCATCAGAAATATTGTTTTAATTCTTTATAAAACAATATATACTTCACTAGGTGTTGCCTATAACACACTAATATCATGATGCACAGTACAGATTGGGCAGGGATATGTGGAAGGCAATATTTCCAAGAGACGGATATAAAAACACATAAAGAAAAATGTAAAAGGCAATGTATAATGCCAGTAGTTTGGAAATGATAAGTTTTGTAAAAAGTTGCTTAAAATAATATTGACAGTATAATGTTTAATTCACGATAATAACTAATATGGCACCCGTAAGGGTTTCTGCAAAAACATTGCTATTTGTTATCTACGAAGCTTTGTAAAAACAGTTTAACTTATGCAAGTGACTATTATACATTATATTTACCTAATAATGTATAATTTAATGCACCATATATATGAGCAATACATTAGGAATATTTACTGTTTGTCAAGAAACAAACGAGATGCTAGGAATAGGAAAGAATAAAGACTGAAGGCAAAGATGAGCATGCACAGCTTGACAGAATCAGATTAATAGTTTTTGTATTGTTTTGAAACTATGGTTTTTCAGTCCACAGTATGCTCTTAAGATTGAGGTTTTAATTATTATCAAGATTGTATAGTGCTAGTGTGGTCGGGTACAGGTGAGTTGTTAGTATTTGTCATTTGGTTTAAATCCAAGGACCACACCAGAATAAAAATAATGTAACAATTTTAGTTGAAGTAATAAGTAACATTTGTATTCATGCCAATTACTCTAGCCTCTATTATATATCATGATGATGTAGGATTATGATACAGTTATGAACATTGTGGATATTGTATTAGCAGATCAAATTCCATGTATAAAATGTCCTTTATGTATAATTAGAACTTACAATTTAGTTATTTGTAAATATTATTTGATGATCTCTGAATGAACAAAACTTGCATAAACATGAAAATATTTTTGGTTATTTGAATGTTTCATAAATATATAGTTATGTTAATTCAAAGATTTCAATAATTTTGATATAGGTGAACTCGATGTGCAAGTTTCAAAGCATGTACAAAAATAATACATTTTACTCTGGTTCAGCAAATGATTTCATTCACATGTGTAACTGTTTAATAGATATCAGAAATGAGTTATAGTTCAGTGACATATTATAAGCATAGAACAAATGGTCAGAAAATAACATATTTTGGTCTGGGAAAGGTCAGTGAATATTATTCTGCCCAACATTTGGAAATTATATGTTTCCTCACTGTAGCAACTTCAGCAGAAATAAAATATTAAGGTAAATATATTATTTATTCCAATAATAATACAGTTGTTAATGGCTAAATTCTTGATGAAAACTAGATACTTATTTCAACAGGTCATGTTGAACCTAACCACCAAAAATCTGTTAGATATAAAATTAATTTCAATGGGTCTGACTTGCAGAGCCATCATATAAGTTATTTTCTCAGTAAAAGGGGAAACACTCTAAATATCAGTGCTGAAATGTAATAAAGTAGTAACAAAATTATTAAGCCAGTTGAACAATAGTGAATGTGAAGAATTCGAGATTATTGATCATGAAACAACTTTTTCGGAAATGGCAAGCTTTAGCAACACCATTGCTTCTTAACTTGTGTGTTGATTAGTGTTAATTTTAATTGTACCTTTTAATTAAAAGTTAAAAGTTGAAACATCTCGACTTGAAATATGCTGGCATTTAAATATGTATTACTCATACATATTGGTATAGTTTGTCAAGATATGCTTAAGTTCAGTGCATGTGTTTTCTAGTCCCAATCTTAAGATCACACAAAATACATTTCTGTTGTTGTATTATAATGTTGAGTGGTAGTTTGAAGTAAGTCCTCACTTGTGAACAAATGTGATCTTATACTTTTATATTCGGAAGAACATTTGTAAATGTGTTTTATAGTTGTTGTTTTTTTATATATTTTGTGGTTAGTTATACTATTAAAAGTTCAATTAAAAATCAAACTGAAATATTTTACTTTTGAGAAGAATATTTCATATGTTCCTGCAGTTTTGAACATGCTCAAATTTTATGTGCTCAAAATATTTCAGAAATGAATTTAACTGTCAAGTTGTTTATTTTTACAGTAAGACAATTTGTTTAGTTTGTTTACCAATTTATAGTAAAGCTGATACTTTCATCTTTCAGTGCATGTAGTAAAGAAACAGAAATAGTAACAGAAGTATCAGAACTATGAAAATGTACTACTTATAGTAAAGAAAGCATGAGAGAACTTGGTTTTTTTTATGATCATCTACTATACATTTGTATTTTTATTATATATAAAGGCTTAATGGAGTGTATAATGAATCACTAACACAATTTGTCTTTCTTTCCACTTTTAGCTCTATATGAATTTTATAGTTGATTTTGAAAACAAGTAAGTTGATGATACGTATTATTTGTTGAGTTAGTTTTTTTTAAATGTACATAAATTATAAGTGTTGGAAATTTTCACCTTCAGTCAAAATTATTGTTAAAGAGAAAGTTAAGACTACTTGATTCGATGTAGATCTGTACTAGCAGCTTGAAATGTTGTCTAAGGCAGATGCAGTCTACACAGAAGTCTTCAATTAAGTTCAGTCAAAATAATTAGAATATGATGAATGTTGAAAAATTAGAACTGTCACAGAGAACATATAACAAAATATACATAATTTCTTAATTTAAAAAACTACATTTTATATGTAATATTTTTATCAAATATTTTATGTAGTGATAAATCATGTGAATGCTTTCTTATATCAAGCATGTTTTATTTTTTTCAAAACCTAAAATATCTAATGTTTTTTTCCATTCATTTGGTTATATGTGCAAGTCATTCTGTAACAAACTTGTGCATTAAAACAAAAATGCTTGCAAGTGATGTTTTTTTTAAACAATGGAAAATTTTTCTCTGCTTTTTTATATTACATAAACTGTTAATCTGTATACCTTTTCACATATAATGAATAAAATAAGTTAAATAAACAGGACCATAACTTGATAATGAGAAAAACTGCAGTAATAAGTAATATGACATGGTGATTATTCTGTACTAATGTGTAAATGATTGATGAAATGCAATCCTATGAATTTATTCAGATTCATCAAATTCTGTTGCATCATTAAAGTTTTAGATTCAAAACGTTCATTTCAAGTCTAGTGTTTGTAATAATCATTCTAACATAACAGAAAAAAAAGTTGCTGTTTGTGTATACCGTATGTCTTCCATAGAAGGTAAAGTGTTTGATGCGTGCCTAAATATTTAGGGCTTTGAAATTATTTGAACAAATTGAAAATAGCAGGGAATGGATGAATTATATTTATTTAATCTAATCATTTAACAATTTTTTTGACACTTATAGATAACAGTCATCACTTCAAAACTTCAGATAGCTTTATAACCAGCCTGATAAAAATAAAAGTAATGTGAACTAACATGTAATCATACATAGTGAGTACTTACTTTATACATGTGAGAAAATTCAAGGACAAAAGTAAATAAATAAAAAGATAAACTGAAGCATTTATTAAACATATAAATAATATAGTTCAAAAGGTAATTCCAAAGTAAAGTCATTTGCAAGTAACATTTAAATCAATTTCAAGTTACACTGAAATGCTTATAGAACATTTCTTATTACAGGAATAGGATCATTTCTACTGAGAAAATTTAGACTAGATACATAGTTTAGTAGACATATTTTGTATAAATTTACTGAGTTTAGTTTGGAAATGTAACAATGTACTATTATGAAGCCCGAAATCTATAAAAATTGTCTTAAGAACTACATTTTCCTATAATATGTAGTTATGAAAAATTAGATATTTCAAAGTTTCATTGTTTTTTGTTTTTTTTTACCAGAAGATAAAATTTATAAGTTATCAGAAATTAAAACACTTGGTTTATTTTTAATGTTTTTTATGACTTGTTTGTTCTTTTGAGACAGTAACTCAAAATAAACAAATGCACTTTTGCCAATGTTTTTTCTTTATAATTTATTGTATATATGGAAGTGGGTTGTATGTAAGTTAAAGATTTGTAGCAAATATACTGCATTTATTGGCTTTTATGTTTCAGGATAAATCTGTTATCATTGGTAGAGATCATCTATATTGTAGCAAAACAAATCAAAGGTGAGTTGTAATATATTGTCCTTTATTTTGAGAACTTTCCTGCTGATGAGTAATTGATCAGGTAAATCTCAATAATAATGAGTATTGCTATGAGAGATTTTATGCTACTTTTGTTTGGGTGGTGACTGTAAACTGTTACTATACCAAATTCCTCTTCTTTCGAAAGAGTGCAGCATATATTGTGTAATTTCAGAATGTTGAAAAATTTATCCTTTTATTGTTGAATACGAACAAAATAGCTTAGGCTATAATAAAGTAGTGTTCAATTAACAAGGGTATATGGATACATTAGATCTGTTGAGATTGGTGTCTGTGTATATAATAATTCTTTATATTAGGCATGATAAATAGTAACAAAATAAGCCACTTTTAATATATGATTGTCAAAAAAACATGAGGCATGGATATATGTACACAGCTTCTTACGGTCGATATTGTATTTTTGATTTATATGATTGTCAGAGTAATTTTTTTATGTATCTTAAGATGAAAAATTAGTTTTATATCTCAAGTAAGGAGATGTCTTTATAATATTTTTAGCTATCCAATAGAATTTGTTTATGTTTTCTTTTAGATCATGACAAATGTGTGGACTTTGTGACAAAAGTCAAGGAAAAGGTACAGATTTTTATACTAAAATGTTAGTAATGCTTAAGTGCTAAAGGATATAAATAATACTATAATATGAATTATTATAGATAATACTGTTAATGACAACTGTGTTAGCATTGATTAGGTTTTGTGCAATTCTGTCTGAATATAAGACTATTACAATTAGAATATGGAAAATATTAATTCATTCAGCACATCTCATTAAGTCCACTTAATTAATGACTTTTTGAAATTACTAGGATTACTTAAATACTAATAACCATAAGTTCATAAATATCTCGCATCATTAAAAACAAAATAAATAATTCTCATGTTCTTTAGTAGATTTTGTTGCAGATATTTTATGCTTCTGAACACAGTCTGCCTATTATTAAGATTTGAAATCTGGATGGCATTCCAACATTAGGGTGTTTGGAATCTGTTGAAAACAAACACTTGTTAAACCGATTTAATGTTTTCTGGACAGACTCCATTCAGAATCACAGTAACATTCATGTAACAGTAACAAGACAGGCATTGTGAACTGTACACATAAAACATTTCTTTGTTATTAATCAACTATATATTGTGTGATTGGAATTAAACTGAATCTGTATGGTACAAAGTAAATGTATTGTTCTGCAATATTGTAGGTTTTCCTCTTTCACTTTTATATGTATGGTAATGATTTCCATATGTTTAAAGGTTTTAGATGATTTGTAATATTTAATTCATTACATCCTTTATTACACATTATTCTAATTCTAAAGCTGCTGCAATCAATGGCAGTACTAGGCATGATCAGGCCAAACAATTGCTTATGGCTTCAAGCAGGTTAAGGAGCTTTCAATTCATGTTTTTTTTCATTTCATCAGAACTTTGACTTTTTTCCTTTTTAGTATTGTGCTCATTTGAAAAAACATTTTCAGTGAAAGTGAGCCAAAAAAACACCTTACTCAGTAGCAGTGGATGTTTAGAAATTGCAGTAGCAAATGTTTCTCAGTCAGGTACTCTTGCTGTGCATGTGTGCTGATTGGCTGCCAAGTGCAGTATACACACACACACACTGTGCAGGACTTGAGAAAAATACTGGTACTATGGTGTTAGTGTGCGAGTAGAAATGACTTTTTAATAAGTTGATTAGTATGTGTTTTGTTGGTATATTTTTGATTTGTGGGAATTAATATTTTTTAGGGGTTGAGTGAGATGATCCAAAAATATTACTGCTTAGGGCCTCCATTGGACTAGTACCACCCTTACCTGCCATTCCTTATATTGACCATAGATAATGAAACATAACATTTTATGTATTCTCTTATGCTTGACAGATTTAATTTTATATACTTTTCTGAGTGCCAAAATTCACAGCATCTTACCAGCTGTATTGTAAGTATTTCTGACTTGTTTGATTATGAAGGTAATTTTATAATTGCTTTATCTGTATTTTATACATCCTTATATGGTTACTGGTCTTTTTTTTTCATGAGTGACTTAATTGTTTAGCCATGCTCTCCTGCTTTGTCTTGGAGTTTTAATGATTGTTGGAGCAAATCCAACTGTGAATAAGCAAAATAATCATTTAATGGTGAATAAAATTGGTTTATAAACACAGCTTAGAATTTTTCAAGAAAATATTCATACATATAGATCAAGGTATCAGCTAAAAGATAATTATGAAAATGCAATAAGAAGTATAGACATTAGGTACGAAAAAAGAATCAGCAGTGCAAGCTAGTTTTTTTTTTAATGAGGGTTGTTCATATATAAAAAGTTCTCATTACTTGTAGGTAATAGTACAGTTTGATTGACAAACTTTTGTTCATTATTATCTTCTACTCAGGTTAAGGCTAGAACTGAGGCTGTTGTTCTGTGTAATATCATCATAGGGCATTTGAAGTTGACCAAGAGAGAGATGGAGGGAGTAAAGGTGAGACAAAAAAGTCAGATGTGAATTATGTATCTTAGACTATATAATGATTATATGTTTTCAAAGGTATGAATATGTTTGTAAAATGTAATGTATAATCTACCAATATAAAAAGTAATGAACATTTTAAAGAAAAGTTAAAAAAAGATTAAATTACTCACAAAACTAAAGATTAGTCATAAGTGCTTTTTTTCTGTTAGTTCAGAACTAGGAGCTGTAATATAGACAGCCTTTGTGCAGCCAGCAACATACAAGAGACCTTAGTTTGTGCTTCAAAAACTTTATTAAGCATTATTGAGTATTCTGTTTTTTTGGTGTTTTTTCAGTAGGCTTTTGACCTAACACACACACACACACACACACACACACACACACACACACACTATATATAGTATATATATATATATATATA